AGGGCAGCTGTGGGCTACAGCTGAACAGTGCAGGGGCAGAGGACTCTGCAAGAGGCGTTGGGCAGAAAGCTACAGTGTGAAACAGCAGAGGCTGCAAGGGCAAAGCACTTGGGCTGGCAGCCAACAGCGGCCAAACAAGGCCAAAGCTGCACACGGCAGTGAGCAGAACAGCAAACCCCCAAAGTGGTAAGTACACGGGTGGCCTGAAAACTGTTAAACCAGTAATGGATCACAGCAAAAAGCAGCTGATGGGATGAGTTATGCCGTTATCTGGGACCCCGTGCTAGACAACACTGGATCGACAGTTTCATAGAGTTGGTAGTCCCCGAGTAGGGACTTTGCAAAGAACGACAGGACACTGGTTTTGGAGGCAAGGTGTCCAGGGCTACATAGAATTTAGTAACATTATAGACAAGAAACTTGGGAACCTATTAGGAAAACACCTAGCAAAAAACATTCCAAAGCAGAAAATACATCTTCCTGTTTAGAAAGATTAGATTCTGTAAAACAAAATTCCAAAATAGAACTTCTAGTATGTATTCCTCACTTAAAGAAATATTGCAGAAGTACAATGTTAAATGGTCCAAAATTATTTTCTATTTCTAAATTCCATATTATCAAACTGAACTTTGCATTTTTGGTCATAAGTATTTATAGGACTAAAGCTTGTAACAGTAAGATTTTCTTGTCAGGAAGATATTTTCAAAGTAACGAAAAACCTCGAGTCAAGGCAGTGAAGTTAAACCTTTCATAATTAATTTGCTTTTAGATTTATTTATTTACTTACTACACTAAAATTCTCAATATTGCTGAAGACCAAAACTGTAATACAGTCAACTAGTCAATTGAGTTCCTGGGGCAATATGATTGTTGGCCTGTAACTGCCCTGTAAGCCAAACGTGCCTGACATAAATCTCTGAAGCAATGAAAGATTTAAAAACCTTTAAATATTGTATTGTCAGCCCAGATATGCTAGCTACTTGCAGTATATCCCACTGTTTTTCATTGTGCTATTTGTAGTAGCATTTAATCAAATTATTAGCATCCTCAGCCGATTTATAGGATCTTAAAACATGTTTCTTCAAAACACTAATTACCTTATGTGCAGTTGTTGCTCTCTGCCACCATTCTTCATAAGAACTTAATTCTGAAGCGTGCCAGGCTGATTAGCCCAGGATAATGAAGTTTTCTATGTAAATACAGTCCAATCTGCCTCCTGATAACTCAATGAGAGTCTTCCCCTTGACTTTAAAGGACTGTAACTGTCTCTACCAGAACAGCTATGTTAAAGCTAGCAGCAACATAAACTTTGGCAAGTTTCACCAACACGTAAGCAGGTACAGGAGCAGAGGGTAAATCTTCATTGTTCCTTATATATCACTCCGTAACTAGCCCATGTGACCAGACTTTCAACATTGTTATTAAACAGTACCAAATATGGGGTTTAATTTTATTATTTACTTGCAATGTGCTTAATCAGAGATAACACAAGAATAATCCCATTTCACAACTATTAATGAAGAGCCATCGCAGTGTATGCTGGTTTAGGCAGGACCAAAATGAGAGCCAGAGCTTACAAAGGAGTTGTATCTTATTGTCAATCATCTGAGGTACCTCTGGATTTCCTCTGCTAAAAATTATCTTGACAACTGTAATACTTATATTGTGATGAATTAATACAATGCATTGTCTGAATTGATGCTTAGAACTGGTCAAATCTACTGACAAATGATTCCCACAAGAGTTTGCACAATTATCTGCAGGTCCATTAAATAGACTACATCATGTAGTTAGAATGTAGTTTGCTACTGCGGCCATAAAAAAGCCGTACAGATGCTGGAACTATCAACAATTCCTGAGTCATCGATTACTCTCAAATTCATCTTCAAAATTGCTCTCCTGAATTAATTTGTAGAACAGCGAAACTCCCATTGACTTCAATGATGCCAAGATTTAAATAAAAAACATCCACAAACAACGTATTACCTTACACAGCCCCTCTTTTCTTCTGCCCTTTGACTGAATGAGCTGGTTACCGATTTGTGATCACCATCTGATTTTTGTTCATACTGTTGATCTGCTTTGGACATACAGCTGAAGGCTTTCTCTTGAGTTTTAACATCTTTGTAAGAAAACAAGTTGCAGTTTAACAGCATGAGTGGGGAAAAAGTGTCATGTTGCCAACTTTAGAGAAATATTGAAGAGCACTGGAATATGAATGTCAAGAAAACAAGTGTGCTAACCAAGATTTTTGCTGACATTTTTAATGAAAGGAAACTTAACTTCTTTAGAAGGCAAAGTAGTAAAATAAGTAGTAGTAAAATTAATTGTTGAAATTTGCTTTTTTTTTTTTTTTAGATCTGGAAGTCAGGTAGTACCCACCAGTCTTAAGAAGATTATTATAATGTACAGTGACAATATAAAGTACTGGCACCAATACTCTTATGGTCTTAGACATCTACTATATATTGCATTTAGCTAACAATAATTTGAGTTTAACAAGACTGCTAATGTTGCGCATAAAGAGACTACAGTAATGGTGTATCTGAGTCATCTCAAGCACCGTTTGTTAGTCTAGCTCTTCTACAAATTTACCCTTTTGCACTCTTCGGAAGGTGTCTCCAGTGCTATATTCATTCAAGCTGTCTTTAGATTGCCTTAGATTAATTGCATTTTCAATGTTTTTCTCTTCAGATTCCTGCTCTGCACCTTCTAGTTGCACTTGTATTCCACACACTTAAAAAGAGACAGTGCAAACAAGATGATTATACCAGCTCATTTAAACATGATTGTAATTAAAACATTTAAAGGTCATGCTAGCTGTATGATTGCAACACAGGAGAAGGTATCTCTCCAGGTAGAAAACAATTAAAGAAAAGGAGGGGGGGTAAAAGGCACAATAAGATAGCAGCTGAGTAAGCCTCAGGTACAGCAAGAGTTTCAGTGACTTCAGTGGGAGAAAGAATAAACTCATATTGCATCCAGATGAGTGACAACAGACTTGATTTCTAGGCTTTATGTTCACTAAAGTTCCCTAAATTCATCCCAGAGAACCAGCTTGAAGGGCTCACCTGTGTTGACAGAATTGCCTTCATGTTCTGTTTGGGTAGCTTCATTTCCCGTGTCGGTCACAGACTCTCCTGACACCTCTTGCACAGTAACCTCCCCTCCAAGGCCTTTGCCCGAGTCTCCATTTTGTGATTGCATTTTAAGATATGTGATTTAGACAAACATCAGCCAAGTCAGTATTTGACTTACAATCCAACTTCCAGACAAAATGTGCAAAGGCACATTTGTAGGAGAACCTGTTACAGATAAAAAGACCATATGAGTAAATTATGATGCCTGCACAGAGCTAGCAACTTGGGGCTATTCACTGTGGAGATACCAAAAGGCAGGGAGAATTTATCTTAAACCCTGCCCACAGTGGATCTCGCTCAGAGCAGAGAGGACCATGGCCGAGAAGCCTCCCAAAACCAAGTCACTTTTTTCCTTTCGAAGCCAGTGCGCTGAGGGTGCAGCGATGGTGCTCCTTCGAGGCACAGCCTGCTCTTGTGTAACGCCTGCGAGCTGGGTGGACTTCTGAGGGGAGTTTTACTCTCCTCACAAGGGTTGCAGCTGCTGTTACGTTTCCCCCTGCACTTTTTGGTGTTACAGCCCAGGAGCTCTCTAGACAAGACTCGTGTCCTAGAGCCTGCTGCTACATCTCCCGTTAAACCTGCAACTCTCTTTACCTGACCCGAGAGCTGGGCTGGGCCGGGTGTACGGACCCAGGCCCCGGCGCACGGGGTCGGCGGCCGCTCCTGGCCTCGCCGCGGTGCCTCCCTGGCAGCAGGAGACGTTAACCGCGACGGACGGGACGGGACAGAACGGGACGGGATGGAGCGGAGCGGAGCGGGGCGTCCCCGGGCCCGCTCTCGCCTCAGCCGCCCC